GTCTTTCTTTTAGAAATTGGTAATCACTTTGAAAAAAGTCAACCGACTTGCATGCGTTAGATACAAAATATGTTATTGATTCTGAAGTAGCCGAAAAGATAGCACAAATAGCAGACACAGTGAATATTCAATACCGGGGTTTTATGGTTTGTCTGAATAATCGAGAGAAATCACTTTTATATGAACAGTTGAAGAAAAAACAATATAGAAATAAGGAGATGTGGTATGATTGCCAGTGAGACAATTATCCACCAAAGTTCAATTGAAGTGGATGTAAGCAATTATAGGCAACCGTACGGCTTTCAACAATGAGAAAAACCCATACCGCATGGTCGGCTATAAAAGGTCCCGACATGAAAAATATGAAACAATTCAATTGAGAAAACTAACGAACTAATTTATAACAAAACAATTAACGAAAAACAAATATGACAAGCAAGAACCAACGACAACAACTGATCTATAGGCTCCTGACTTGGGACAAGTATGCTCTTTTTAGTCGCAAGAAAAATTCTGATACCAGTGATGCAAAATCAAAACTTGGTAGTTTTAAAAATGATTGCAACCTATTTATTAGGTTATTCATCTCTCATTTTCAGAAATTGGTTCCCTTAATTTTGTGGTAAAATCTAAATTGGTGCCTATATTAGAAGATGCTATAGATATACCAGAAAGAAAACCAGTGTCAAACTTGCTGATAATAGACGGTGCATCGTTGGAAAATTTAAAACCACCAGGACCATCAAGAACCTATGACGATAATGATAATAATGTTATTTTACCTCGTATCAAATCTTTCGCGTAAAGGTATTTGCGAAGAGATGTCGTCTTTAATATAGAAATAAGGAGATGAGGTATGATTGCCAATGAGACAACTAACCACCAAAGTTCAAATGAAGTGGATGTAATGTCTATTACGGCCACAGTCTTAAAGTGAAACAAGAAAGAAACGCGGAACAGTCTCCAGAAGAAAAGTTACAGTTAAATCATAAAAATATATCCATTATAAGAATGTGAATGAGGTAGATCTCTTGATTTTTTGAAATTATTTTACAAATATGATATAACAAAAATTACAGATTTTTTAAACGTGGCAGCCATGTTGAAAAAGGCAAAAAATAATTATCTATTTCGATAAAGTAGACTATAAGAGAGCTACAAATCAAGTTTTTTGATTTTATCATCAAACTATTGTTCCGGTTTCCAGGTCAATTATTATGCCTTGTCAGCCATATTTCATAATGAATTTTCTCAATCAAATGCTTAAAAGTATTCTTTTAAAGGGCATTAGCTGTCAAATTCATATTCGCCGAATTGACTCAAATTCTCATATTTGATTTATAACATACTAAAACGTATATCCAAATTAAAATAAGTCTTATATAAACAATTAACAATGCATGGACTTGATAATATATATCAGCATTTCGTGTGTATAAAGTAAAGTAACAAAAATACCGAACTCCAAGGAAACTTTCATAACGGAAAGTCCTTACACAAATGGCAAAATCAAAAGCTCATACACATCAAACGAATGGAAAACAACTGTTATATTCCTGACTTGGTATAGGCATTTCCTTATACAGATATATATGTTTTTTAGTCTAGACGCTATCTAATTAACCATCGAGACGACCACTGAAGACTGCCGACGGTCATATAACCCGATAGAAACATAAATATAAATATGAATAGATAGAGACCACGTGCAATTGGATTTTTCCGGCTCTGTTTGATTTCATGTTATAGGTTCAAAGAATAAGTTAATCATCGTTTTTACCTGTATAAGAATGTATTTTGTGGAACTAATCAGTCAACGAAATGGTTCACCTTTGTTTCATTTCAGTGTTGACATTCTTTTCCCATTAATAGCTGTGCATGCCAAGTACATGTGGAATCCATTTACAGCTAAAGGTTAAATTGAAGTTCACATTAAAACGGATTCACACCAGGTCGAATTATTTACTTGCAAGTGAATAATACATCAGCAATGTTTTTGAGCTAAGTTTGACTGCTAATAGCGAAATATTGTTTCAAAATTCCGCTTTTATTAATACTTGAAGCAAAAAGATTCGAAATTTAAATTTTTGTCTAAATCGTAGCTAGTGCCCCTTTGAAGAGTTGAGAGGCCAGTTAATACATATGGAACTTATTTAAGAACAAACAAACCCAACCCACTATTTTCTCTTCAAAATGGCCGAATTATCTAAGAAGGGGAGGTTCCAGCAGGATTTGTTTCGGATTGAATATTAATTTTCAATTATTCGGAGTACAACTTATTTATTTTACTCGCCTTGCCTCACGAATATTTATTTTCATTCTTGTACACAACTATTTCCTGCATTTTGTTGGACAGAACATTCAACATTTATGTTTGACTTGTCGGGGGCAAAATTATTTATTGTGAGTCATTGCCAGTCAGAATATTCATTTTCTCCTTTCCACCTTTGCCTCCCTTTCATGCAGATAAGACTTTATAAAAAAAATATAAATATACTTTTTCGCCATTTTGGACTCCTCAAAAAGCATTGTTTTTCCCTCTATGAAGCAATTTCCCTACTAATCAACATACAATTTTTAAATAATGGCTCTAACTTAGGACAAACATTTTTTTCAAAATGAAACAATACCTTTTCCTTTTATGATAAATACAATAAATAAAAGAATAGGACATTCTTCCCTAATCTAATTTGTTTATTAGAAATAATTACCGGGCAATTTATAAAAAAAAATAGTGTCCCCTTCCAAAATATAGTATAACACAACACAACTGCATTGAATATTTAACGCCTTTCAGCTCCATAGTTAACCAGTACTTATTTTGTCTATAAAATAGGTGATAAATGAATTGTACTGTAAGTTTAGCCTACTTAGAACGTGTTCAAAATTGCAAATTGAGTAAACGCAAACGTTTATTTGCGATATAGAAGTTCTACGTAGGCCAAGCTTAAAACACAAAATGGTTATATCCATTCTATTGAAACTTAATACGTTCCATTTTAATTATTGTTTTGGCTTTACATTGTTATAAATATACAATTCATCGAATCTTGTCTTTGGCATCTAAATATCGTGACGTCATAGGTACTCTTCTTATGCACTTTAATTATCGTACTTTATTTGGTCTTTAAACTTTTTTCATTCGAGAATCACTGATGTGTCTTTTATAGACGAAACGCGCGTCTGACGTACAAAATTATAAACTTGGTATCATGGATGCGTTTTTTTTCATCTATTCAAACAAATACATCCGGTGTTTTTAGCCTTTGCATACGCCTCAGAATTATGAAAATTTTAACAAAAATGGATTTTTAGGTAAAACATGTGATTTTTTGGTTTACTTTTGAAGATATGACAAACACAAAAATTTCGGAATTCAAAATGGCGGCTAACCTTAGTTACAGACCGGTAGACATTGGAATCTACCACTTCAAAATATATGACGAAGACCAATAAAAATCGCCGTCACATATTAATTCTAATTTAACATTGTATTACAATGAATAAATGACCATATTACGTAATATTCCAGACTTTTTAAGGAAATGTGTTAAATGACAAATAAAATGTCTGATTCATATTTGTCAATAAATTGTCATGTAAGCAGAGGCAAATTTATAGTGTGGTTTAAAATCATGTAAAACACGAATTTTACAGTTAAGTGTTAAGAATAGAGAATGAAAGTGTACTAAACTTCAAACTTTATTGGAAAACATCAATGTTCATATACAAAGGTCAAATGTAATGCTCGCGACAAAATACGTAAAGCACGTTTACACAGCCGTATAAATAAGAACAATTCCTGATCAGTTACACATACCAATAATTCACCAGTTACCAAAGTCATCGAGAGAAAGAAAACCAGGTATAACATTTTTCAACTTAACAGTTATAAGCTCGAGTAAATATCAACTATCTAATAGCTTCAAATTTATCAAAAAAATCGTTTGATTATAAGACAAATTAATATGAAACTTATTACTTTGCAATGATTTTTTTTATATTTACAAACCTTGAATATTATGTTACTACGACACTTATTTATACCTTTTTTGCAGATGTTTATTAATATATTTAAATTATTTTCAGTCAGGATGAATACTTTGATTACCTATGCCGTTCTGTTAGTGACTTTTTCCTTTGCTAATGCTGTACCCAAATTTGGCGGCGGTAGAGGAGGAGGTCTGTATTTATAGAATGTGATTTTCGCTTTATTTGACGTAACAAAACACATATTTAAAAGAGGTTTCACTTTTCAAGTTCTGATTAATTTTTTTTTGCAATGATTCCATTAACACGATGTAAATTATAGTATCGTTATAAACATTATGGTGGACATACAGTATTGTTCTTTTTCTTTATTTCTTTATGAAAACATGATAATATAATTTGTTATGATACAATTATCAACTTTTTCATTCGATCTAAGGCTTAATTCATTATTATGAAGAATAGTATTACGACTGATTTTGGTTTGTTTGTCATCAAGTGGCTAATATTTCATTCACATACAGTAAGAGATCAATAAACATATACACCAAAGTGGTATATTCTGAAAATGAGCCGACCGGCACTTTTGCCTTGCAACTGCCCATGGGAAATAATGGATAACTCAGTCAGTTGTTACAAGGATTGCTAAACGTGTAAAGAGTTTGGGTCTCTCCCAACACATGCTTTGAATATAACGAAACAATGCTTACCTTGCCTGTGTAGCTAGAAATTTCACTGAATTAGGATGTTAGCTGCTAACAACAATTACTCAGATTTTCCTATTCCTAATTTTAATTTTAATAGCTGTCTTGTCTGTAAAAGACTTAGTACGGAAAGGATAATATAAAAACATTGTTTTTATTCAATTCACTATGTCGATAACAAAAGTAAGTCAGAACAAGTGCCGGAAAAGTTTACTAGAAAAATGTTATTTAATAGAATATCGTTGTACAACTAAATTTATCATTTGTTTTTGCTATCATTACATATACTTGTATGAATTATTTCAGTAAGTGGTTCAATTAGTGGAGCACTTGATGGATCTATTGGGGGAAATTTGGGAAATCGCTTCGGAAGTGGAATTGGTGGCAGCGGAATTTCTAGTTCTCTCAGTGGTGCTTTAAGTGGAAACTTGGGCGGTGGCATTGGAAGTGGAATTGGCGGCAGTGGTATTTCTAATTCTCTCAACGCTGCTTTAAGTGGAAATTTGGGAGGTAGTCTAGGAGGAGGGCTTGGCGGCAGTGGACTATCTAGTTCTCTCAATGCTGCTTTAAGTGGAAACTTGGGTGGTAGTATCGGAAGTGGCTTTGGCACCAGTGGAATATCTAATTCTCTCAACGCTGCTTTAAGTGGAAATTTGGGAGGTAGTCTAGGAGGTGGGCTCGGCGGCAGTGGACTGTCAAGTTCTCTCAACGCTGCTTTAAGTGGAAATTTGGGAGGTAGTCTAGGAGGCGGTATTGGCAGCAGTGGCATATCAGGTTCTCTGGCCGGTGCTCTTAGTGGAAATTTGGGAGGTGGAATTGGAGGTGCTGGTGCCGGCAGATCTATCTCCATTAGCATTAGTGCCTACCTTAGATTGATTTCCTATATATCTGCTCTACAACAAACTATCACTGCCAACACCTTAGGAGCAAGATTAAGTGGTGGAATCAGTGGTGCAATTGGTGGTGGAGTAGGTGGTGGATTTACTGGTGGTGCTGGATCTAACTTTGCTGGACAATTTGACGGTGGATTTGCTGGTTCTGTTGGTAGAACTGGATTCGGAACTGGAGGTGCTAGCAGCGGATTTGCTGGACAATTTGGCAGTGGATTCGTTACAAGAAGTGGAAGTATCGGAGGAGCAGGTGGTTTAGGTGGAGGACTATCCGGGGGATTAAGTGGTGGACTTTCCGGTGGAATAGGAGGTGGAGTAGGAGGGGGTGCAGGAGGACTTGGAAGTGCAAGCCTTTCAGGTCAGTATTCTAAGTCGTCATAAGGGTAAACATGTAATCAACATATTTAAAACTAAATAAAATAAATTTATACAATTCAATGCTTCATATTATCAGTGATATCAAACAGTTTATTTTTTAAGTGCTTTGAACTTTTTAAGGGGAAGGCTAAAATGCTAATCAACCATGTTATTGGTTTAGCCTACCCATTTTAAATGAACTATTTTGACGCGATCGCCAATTAGGAGTAGATGGACTGGCGTATCAATTATAAGCCTGAAATTTTTATCTAATTATCTGTTGTATGAAACATAGTTTTACTACGCGATGTTGTATTTCTATGATAGTTAGTTTTATATTTTTTTTCAGGTGCTCTTCAAGGAAGTATAAGAAGTGGATTCGGCGGCAGTGCTGTTGGAAAAGGTTAGCTTTTTGAAATAACATTTCAAAAATAACAAAATAAAAAATTGCCACCCAATGGGACGAAATCAGGAACTTATTAAAACTTACCGGACATTCGAATATCAAAGAGTTTATATAATATACTGTAAACGTTTTCAGCAATTTTATATATTTACACATTACCTTAAGATCAAAATTACCCGTGTAACTTATATAGCTGTTTAGAACAATGTTACCAATTTTACAAGTTTTTGTAAAATTTAGTTTCGAAAACATCTTTATCCAAAATGAGTAAAATTGTATCTGAAAAAAACATATATACATGTATAGAAGGGCAAATGTATTCCCAATAAAATTAGGTTACATTTAAGAATGACGTTTTCTGGATATTAACTCGAATTTTGTGGAAATCTATGTAAATTGCAGTTTTGAGCCATCTTTAGGCATTTGATCAATTGTTTCGATTTAAGCCTAGCTATTATTAAAACTCTTTTTTGTATAATTACATGTTAAGAAACAAAAGCCTATTGCAATGCATCTTTTATTTGTCTCGCTCTCGGGGTCAAAGTTGGTGTGATGATGAAAGTGAAACGTGAATATAAAAACAGTCCACAATGTACCTAAAAATATAACTCAAAAGTTTTATATAAATTGATAAAAAGTTAATATAGTGCTATGCATGGGTGTAAATGACAATATAGCGAATTTTTTTCGTAAAATTCACATTGAAGAACTTTCACAATACAATTGAATAAGTAACTTTATTTGAAATGGTCCACATTATTGGAAATACAAAAATAATAAGTAAAAATATTATTTTAAAAATACCTCACATGATCAGTAATACAAAAATTATGTTTAAAAATATTAATTAATTTTTTGTTTAAAGTGTATGCATAATGTGCTGTATTTTTAGACATTTATAATAAGATTTACTAATATAAGATTTATTTTGTAGGATCAGCATATTAAATAACAGATGTACATTTATCGGATGCCTGAAGTATTAATAAGCAACCCCAGTTGTGTCTATTGTATTTACTTGTTATTAGAATAAACATTGTTATTAAAATTCGTATTTAGTCTTTTATTTCACTGTATCTTTAAGAGGGTCTTTTTTTAATCTGTAAATACCAAAATACAAACCACAACGAATTACACAAAGAAATACTTCACATTCATGTTGTTTAAATGAGAGGCGAAATATACCAAAGGGATAATCAAACTCATAGTCGAAAACAAACTCACATTACCATGGCAAAAAACGAAAAAACGACCAAAATCCAAACAACAATAAACAAAACACCACAAAGAAAACTAAAGACTGGGCAACACGAATCCCACAAAAAACCGGTGGTGATCTCAGGATTCATGAAAGAGTAAGCATGTCCTGCTCCACATGTGGCAACCGTCATGTTGCTCATGTAATGTTTTGGTGGGGTTCATGTTGCTCAGTCTTCTATGTTGTGTTTTGTATATTGTTGTTTTTCTTTTTGTCTTTTTCTTTTTTTGCCATGTCGTTATCGGTTTATTTTCGATTTATGAGTTTGAATGTCCTTTTGGTATCTTTCGCCTCTCTTTAAGTACAAACCTGGTGATACATCTTATTCGATAGGTCACATTCGAGGAAAAGACGAGATTGTGGTTACGACAAATTGAACATATGATATACATCGTCATATGTGAAACAGATATTCCATTACGGTCAACCAACTCTTAATGGTGTCCGTAAAATTTTCAAAGGGATGATTCAACCTCACAACTTGGAACTCCTGTTTTAATAGCTTCCTTATACTTGTAAGCAGCAACCCTCTATCAAGGAAATGCAGGCTCTGGAATATCGAATCAACTGGGAGATATATACTCCATACGTAGGACTGTTGCTACATAGAAAGGAAAACTCCACTATTGGAAAACTGAAATCATCTCTTTTGTCGTAAAGTTTAAGTTTTAAAAGTTGATCCGAAAGTATTAAGACATGATAGATAAATAGTCAGTGTCTATTTTGCAAATGATACGAAATGGTCATGAGTTATAGTTTCAAGGTGATGAAGTTGTATATCTTTTTATTAACTTTAAGTTTTTTTTGTCTCCGACCTATTATGTTTGACATTTGAAGTGTCAGGGTATGTATCCTGCTATCGTGTTTTTGACTTTGGGCGTTTCTGGTAGTGCAGGCGGGTCCTGGGGTGCGATTCGGACGCAAGAGATTTTTACAGCGTTATTTCCATTTTTTTTTACCGTTATATTTATATTTTACTTCATTTGTACTTTATCGAGAAAGTGTATACTATATATGGTATGTACTATCAACTACAAAACCTTTTTTCGGCGTCTTTGTCAATGAACTATCAACTACAAAAATGTACTATCAATTGCAACTGTTTTGTTGCCGTCTATGTTAGATTTATTTGTATGTTTGTTTGAATTGTTTAGTCAGTTGTGTTATATATGTCTGTGATGTATGTTTATACAGTTTTTGCTGCTGGATCCTAATTATTGTCACATTAACCTATTATATCTGTTTGGATTGCTCACCCAGTTTTGTAAATATAACGGAAAAATAAACAAAACTGTCATATAAGTGGGAGGTTTAACTATAAAACCAGGTGTAACCCACCATTTTCGTCGGAAAATGCCTGTTTCGAGTCAGGAATCTGACAGTTGTTTTCCACTCTTCCATTGGTTGATAACGTTTTTGATTTTGTCAGCTTTATTATTAAGGACTTTCCATTTTTGAATTTACATTGGAGTTCAGTATTTTTGTTTTACTTTTTTATATTGCTGTAATGTTACGATAGGCTTACCCAACTTGCAAGGCAGCACCATACTGTTGCAAACTAATATAATTCAAACTTAAAATAACGATATTTCAACTTAATACCAGTCTAGTCATGCTATGCATTTTGCTGCCTAATGTGAACATCATGTACTTTCAACTGTACGTTATGTAGTTTCAATGAGTATATTGTATGCTAACCCTATCGTGACAATGTCAGATTATAATAATATACGACGTGCTTTCTTCGCTCAACATCATAAACTTCCAACTGTACGTCGTGTAGTTTTAAGTGAGCATATTGTATGGTTAGCCCATCTTGACATAATAATGAAAACCCATCGTGCTATATTAGTTTAACATCATGTACTTTCAACATCGCATCGTGTGGTGTTAAGTTAACACATTGAATTGTAAGCCTATTGTACCATTACAGCAATATAAAAAAGTTTTTAAAAAAACCCGGAACTCCAAGGTTAATTAAAAAAGGGGAAGTCCACAAACGCTGAAAAAATCTAACGTTATCAACCAATAAAACGAGCGGACAACTGTAATATTCCTGACTCGGTACAGGTATTTTCCAACGAAAATATAGGGTTAAATCCGGTTTTCGAACAGCGGTATACTACTGTTGCCTTTATTTATAGCTAGCAAAACCTCCTACTTGTATGACAGTAACTGTTGGTTATAATTCCGTTATATTGACAAAATTGCGGCAAAAACTGTGTAAACATACATCCCAGACATACAACACAACTGACCAAAACATACAAATAAATCTAACAAAAAACAGTTGCAGTTGATAGTAAATTTAAAAATGAGGTAAAAAAAAAAAATTTTTTTTTTAGTAGGTAGTAAATTGACAAAGTGTAGTACATACCGTATATAGTTAAGACTTTCTCGATAAAGCACAAATTAAGTAAAATATAAATACAAGGATATGAAAAATGGAAACAACACTGTTAAAACATCTTGCGTCCGACTCGCGCCTCAAGACCTACCTGCACCAGAAACGTCCCTAAAAAAACGTAAAAAAGGGATGCACAAATACCTTGTACCGTCAAAAGCCGTACGACCAAAATAATCATAATAGCACGAAGACAAATAAAAGATGACGTTTTACAGAGTTTGAGTAGCAGCTGCAAGCTCTTGGATTTCGTAAGAGTTGAGAAATGTATATTCCATACGCCGATGAAATTGATATATTGTTGCTAAGGTGAGGAAAATTTAAATTTCAAAATAGAAATCGTCTCGTTTGTCATAGATTCTAGTACTAAGGTGACCGCTTTTGTCAAATCCGAGGTAAATGTCTATAAATGAGACGAAGGAAGCTGTATCTGTGGTTTCTTTAATCTCTAGTTCAGGAGGATATATTAATGGGATCCAATCAGAAAAGTTTGGATTGTTAATGGAAAGAACATCACCAATACACCTGTAAGTGAAATTAAATGATCTAGCTTCTTTGGTCTACTTGTTTTGGACAAGTGACTGAAGAAACTCCGACTCATATGAAAATAAAAAAGGTCGGCCAGGAGAGGTGCACAGTTTGTTCTCATAGGAATGCCGAAAACCTGGAAAATTCTACCTCCAAATTTAACAAATATGTTTCAATGAGAAACTCTCGCATACTGATCACTTGTTTTTCGGTGTAAAATATTTTATTTTCGGACTCATTTTTTATCAAAAATAGGATTATACTGGCCACTAAAATAAAAATGCAAATATGCCAATTCCTAAGTCGAGTCAACAATTTGTTCGCATATAGGTGAATTGTACACGTTTTTTGCCTTCTGTTCGTGTAAAAATGAACCTTGTCTACCTTGAAAACTTTTGGCCTTTTCAGTTTGAAAATCGGAAGCGTAACCGTAGTACAAAAGTCCAAACGTATGAAAAGACCAATTTTTGTCTCGATTTGCATGAACTATTACTCGGCATTTTCAAAAAGTATGACTTATGTCTTAATTTTTCTTGACAAATTCTGACTTATATTAAATTTGTATGAAAATTACTCGACATATTCTCGACGTTTTGAATTACTGTCTTAAAATTTCTTGACAAATTCTCGACATTTGAATACTGTCTTGAAATATCTCGACAGGTTCACGACATTCCTTTTTTCTCAGTATGGCTTGACATATTCTGAACAGTTTAAATTGTGTTTTGAATTTACTTGACAAGTTCTCGACATTCTATAGTTTTCTTAATTTGACTCGATATATTCTTGACATCCATAATTTCGTCTTAATTTTTCTTGATATATTCTAGACAGGCTTAAGGCTGTCTTGAATTTACTAAACACTAGTTTAAAACTAGTTTTCCTAGTTTAGTTAGAGTTATTCTCCTTTATCAATTAAATGCAGACTATTTGTATTGGAAGTGTAAGTGTAGATAATAATACGTAAATCTGTTATTAACAGCTTAACTTGTTTTATTGATTAATTTAAACTAGATTAGTTGTCTTTAGATTGATTAAGTCAAGTGTGAACTCTTTGAATTGACCTTTATTAACTGATCTAAACTAAAATACATAAAGAAATAGTTTACTTAAAATCGATCTAACGAAAACTGATATAGTTTAGAAACAGAAAAAAAAAGAAATAACAAAATACATGTAACATGATTTAACAAAACTTTCTCGTCCTTCCAGATGACAAACTGTCATAATATATGTTTTTACTATATATATAATTCATTTATAGTGAAACCGTTATAACAGTTTTACATAAATATATAAAAAAAAACCAATCAGCTAGCTCTCAAAGGCCTATGAAGCACTGTCAATTTATATTTATATAAATACTAATAAAATATGAAAATAATACTTCAAGAACAGTAAAATAAGGTAATTTATGTTTCATGATGTTAAAGTAACTGAGCTATACATGCATTAACCACAGTGTCTATGCAAAAAGGTGACTATTTTTTTCTTTATGGTCTTCACCATCTGACCATCTACTTCTTCTGTTTTGCCCAAGCAATGAAAAATACTGTTCACATGTACACTGTCTTTGTAAAGTCTACCACTTCCTAGTTTCCATTGAGTAAGCTTAGATCCAGCTTTTTTTAGGTATGTAATGTCTACACGAGAACTCCATACATTATCCACAGTTGCACAATCACAAGACTTGCATCTTGCAATACAAACATTGTCTCCAACTTTGAAACACATTACCATTGTGCTTGACTGTGGTAGCTTGGATATTGCAATAGCTGCAGGGGGTGCTTTACTAACTGGTGATTCAGCAAGTGAAGTAACTGGTGAAATAGCAGGTGAAGTTACTGGTGATTCAGCAAGTGAAGTTACAGGTGAATTAGCAGGAGAAGTAACTGGAGCACAATATCGTCAGAAAGGAATACCTATTCCGTTTTCTGATTGACGTTTCTGATGTCTTATAACCAGACTCAAGTTAGCGAACAATAAGCCAGCGAACAATTAGGTGTATCAAGCTAGCAAACAATAATCCAGTGAACGATAAGAAATACGCGCCAAACTGATCACGCCTAAAAACCGAAGACTTATATTAACATGAAACGTCCTTTGAAGTCTGATGACAATCATTTCCAGTAGGAAGACGAAATGCTATACATTTTCACAAAGAGAAATTTGATATTTTATTTATATATATATTTAAAACAACATCATTTTTCTTGACAGCCAAGCATCTCTTATAGGATTTTTAAAATTAATTTTAGCTAATCCTTTCCCTTTTGATTACCTTTGATTACAAACGGCTTGTCTTTATAATATTGAAAAAAATAATAAAAGTAGACCATACTGATCTAGTGTAAAGATGAAATTAAATCCACAAGCTGATATGCTTTTGAAAAGAAAAGAAGAAAAAAACATGCCGTTTTTGGAACGTCAAGTACAGAATTTTGCATCCAAAATTATAAGTTTAAGTAAAAGCTAACAAATATCCACAGTTTTCGATTTGGTACAATTGAAAACTTGCAACTTATTTATTACATTTCAATAGGAAATGTGTTACATGTGACAATGATACACAAGTAGCACGAGATATGAATTGATATGAAGGTTTTAGATAATTTAACCGGCAAAATGTTCAAATCCAAGATTATTACAGCTTTTCAAAAAGAAAAGTCCCTTGCACTGATTCGAATTAACAAACAAGGGTAGAATCACAACAATACGAACTATTTCAGTTTAACATTAGAACGATAACCGGGGAACGGTTCAAAGGTGGGGTATAATGACCCTACCCCTTCCCTACTTTAATTCATAAAAAAGTCCCTACAGCAAAGCTTTTGTCCACACTAGATACAAATGATAGGCAATTGTCTAAGGTTGCCTGGACCCAAAGACCCAGGTGGATAAAGTTACGGATCGTCTACAACTTTGAACCTGAGTTGCAGTAGTTCCGTGAAGTTTCTCACCTGGGTCATCTAATCCGGGCACCTTCAGGGCATTGACTTTCATCTATACCTGGTGTGGTCAAAGCTTTGCCGCGTAGAGAATTTTTTTGACGAATTAAAGTTGGGAGGAGGAAAGGTCTCCATATCCAATTTGGACTTCAGTTGCAAACGTTCCGAGAATTTGTCCACCTGGGCTATCTGTTCCAGGCAACTTAAAGGGAATTGCCTATCATGTGTGCCTAGTGTAGATAAAAGCTTAGCCGTAGGGATTTTTTTGACGAATTAAAATTGGGATTGAGTAGGGTCTGCATACCCCAAATGTGGAATCAGTTGTAGCAGTTCCGTGAATTTACCCACCTGGGTCTTTGGGTCCAGGCAACCTTATGCCATAAAGAAAACATGAAAGTCTCCTGGAAGTCATGAAGTCATGAAGTAGTGTTAATGGGAATGACCATTCTATCTTCTCTTCTACCAACAACAACAAAAAACATTGCGAAAAATTTGAGAGTCAACCCTTTTAGCAGGTGCTTGCAACAATAGTAGATTTATTTCTAATAGTTTTCTTTAAATGTATTATGTCTAAAGAAAAATGGAGAAACAACATAAACATGAAATTCTAGTATATCGGTTTGCAAAGAGTTGTGCTTTTCCGGCGTGTTTAAGATATCTTGACATTGGGGAAATAATAATGCTATTAAAACGAATATATGCATGTTGCATGAAAAATAGAGCAGCAGAAAAAGAAAGAGGTTGAAGACATATACATGTATAAGCATTTTGACAAATGACATAAAGTTTTCTGCTCTTTCAGATGCTAATTAGAACACATATCTACGTCAACTATATTAATCTTCGTTATGGGTTTAAAATAAATTGAGAATTGAATTATATAACTTCAGATATTACTCATTATCTAAAGTTTGATTTTTTTGGGTCAAAAAATCAAACCAAAATTTTCCGACCAATCCTATTATTTTTTCCAACTGCATAGAAAGTGTCTGTTGTTCTGATTAAATTTTAGTTAGGTAGTTTATTAAAATATGCATTTATATTTGGTTTTATTTGGTAAACTAAAAAAAAAAAGCACACCAATCTCAGATTTGGAAAAGAAGCTTATAAATGTTCTAAATTTATAGAAACAAACTATTGATCAAGGGTATCTGTGTGTTATAAATGAAAATACAAAGTTACCAGGGCTGAACACGGCAATAGCTGGGCGGAAAAGATGACGTCACTGACGATGATTGCGTTGGCAACCATGGAAACATTGTGGAACCCCGGCGAACCTAACGAATTTACGGAGAATGAGGATTTTCTGACTACATCGATCTATGCAAAAGGTCTCTCGAACGATAGAGCATTTGGGAATTATAGCTGACTTATTTGTAAAAAATAAACCATGATATGAAATTAGATATACTATAAATTAACAATCCATACTAATTAGCCAATGAAACGCGTAGAGATCTCTATACGGTCTAAAAAGATGACCAAGAGCATCTCTTTGACTATTTTAGCACATTTTGTCGGAAGTGATATGGTGAAAAAAGAGACCGAGGATATCAATTGGAAATTATAAATACAATAAAAACAAACAACACAATGGCTAAAAATAAACGACAAGCATACTGACAACAATAACAAAACATCAAACAGAAGACCAAAGATTGAGCAACAGGAATCCAATTAAAACCGGGTATTAACAAAGGAACTTCGGAAGGGTAAGCCATTCCTGTTCCACATGTGGCAACCATTGTGTCGTTGATACTTAGTACCATGATCGTTAAACTTTGTTCATGGAAGTTATCAATATACTTTACATACATATTGTGTGATCCTGCTTTTTCTAAAAAAAAAATCATACAAAAGGTCAGCGACGGACGTTTTAAAAAAACATTCTGTTATCATACCTTGTGATAACAGAACAGTAAAAACTTCAATTCTCGTTGCCTGACTTTTTTTCACACCAAAACAATCTTAAAGAATACGCAACCTTAATCTTTTTTTCCAAAAAGATAATTTAGAAAATGCAGGTTAGGTGGTTTTACCAACTCTTTCGGAAATGAATGTTGGCTATCTCTCTCTCTGCTTGTCTTAATATCTTTTAAAATTACAAAATTAAAACTTTCTAAATACAACTTAACCAAATTTTCCAGAATTTGAATGTAGCTCGATATCTCCATATATGAAAAACAGGGGAAGTGGTATGATTGCCAATGAGACAGCTATTCACCAGATTTCAAATCATGTGGATGTAAGCAATTATGGGCCACCGTACAGCCTTCAACAATGACAAAAACCGATACCGTATAGTCGGCTTTAAAAGGCCCCGACATGAAAAATGTGAAACAATTGAAACGAGAAAACTAACGGCATAAGTTATAACAGAACAACTTACGAAATTAAATATGACAGAACCAATGAAATACAGACTCCTGACCTGGGACAGGCAAATGATCAATGTGGCGTGGTCAAACATGTTTGTGAACACTCAACCCTACCCTTACCCTAGACAGTGGTGTTACAGCACAACACAATAACAAAATGTAAAAATCAGTTGCAATTGGCTCAAAAGATCGGTATAAGGCACACAACTTACTTACATAAAAACAATAGACACAAAGAACAGAAATAAGAGTACTCACACTTACTGAAAGCTATTTCAAAGCCAATTACAACTAAAATATAAATCATGTTCTCCACTCGGTATTATTTTTGCTCCAATGAGTATTACCAACCAAATTGTTCAGTGCTATTATCTAAAAATTGGAAAATGGGTATGATCGCCAAAGGGCAACTATCCACCAGAGATCAAAATGACATAAATGTAAATTTTTGGTTTTTATAAAAAATAGATAATGTTCAAACAAAATGCATTAACAAAAAAAAAACAGAAGATGGAAACACTCCTGCTTATCTTGTCTTAAATCAGATATACTTTATCAGCATCCAAAAACTGAGCATCAGTGATTTGTCTCAATATGACGTCAATTAACTAAGGATGCTGAAAATTTCCTATACAGTTGTAGCATTGCAATATACGCAAAGAGTCGTATTAGCGCCACATCATATTTTCTTAATTCTTTTGCGTTATTTTCAACTATTTGGCAATTTAGCAAACTTCGCACAATTTCGAAAATTTTGTGTTTTTTAACAAAGTTTTGCATTATTTTTGATATTGGACTTAAGAGTAAATGTTCTTCTACTGGTTTTTATCTATTTTTCAAATCTAGATCTAGATATGAAAAGGGTTAGGATTGAGATAACAAAATACTAGATTAACCCCCGCCTTATTTTCAAATAAGAATAACGAGATGTGGAATGATTGCCAATGACACAACTATCCACCAGAGAAGAAATGACGTGAATGTTAGCGTACGGCCTTCAATAATGAGCAAAAACCCATATAGCAAGAAATTAAAGACCAAGAAATGGAAATGTAAAACAATTCACACGAGAAAAATTAATGTCGGAACGATAAACAATACTTATTTTATTTGTTTTGTATAAAGTTTGATCTCCTTTTTAGGAAATTAAGATGTCGATTTGAATATGATAATATTTTCATGATCTATATGATTTTGTATTGATATGCCTAAATAGTTTGTAGCTGTTTCTGCTTGAAGTATATAACCATGAAGGACGTAGTCGTTGTTGTTTTAAATGCACATTTGCATTCTGAAAGATTGATGGCATACAATAATTATCAAAAATGAATACGGTACAAATTAAATAAAATACACAAACTTCATCATAATTATTTTGATGATTTAAGTGGTGTTTCTATCGATGATGCTGTCATCAGCAAATAGCCTTAAAGTGTTTTGTAAAAGTGTTTTGTCCTAAAAAATTTTATGAGAAATAAAATGGGACCGAGAACAGTGCCTTATTGCACTCCAGATGTTACCATAAGTTTCTCAGATTGTTCTCCA